TTGATGCTTTGATTTGATTGTCCACTCCTTTTGGTCTCCATTTGATTGCAATATAAATGCTTTGTTTCGATGAATTCACGCCATATATCAACAGATCCTCGCATTTATGCTGTTTATTGAAAAGTTTTATTTCATTAAATTTATTACTATTTTATATTTATTTTATTAATTACTTTTCAAAATTATGCCTTCACTTAAATGTATCATTAATTGCACATTTAAAAAGTTATAAAATTTTTAATTATACTGTAGTATAAAATTAATTACCTGTGTAATTAATATATATAATATATTAAAAAGTACAGGTAATTAATTCTATATTTAAAAGGCAGAAATATTATAATTTATAAGTTTGTAAAAGTTGAAAAACAGGTCTTGATAACAATTGATTTGTAAAAAACAAATATTTATTTAACTTTCCTAATGTAATACTATGCATTATATAACTAGCAAGCAAAAAAGTAAATTTTAATTTAAAAGTAATAATAATTTATATATATTTAACTGACTTGTGAGGGCAGGTCGTACTGCCACTCGTGAGGGAACGGTAGTACTCCGGAGTCCCATATATTATCCTTCCAGACGTCGTGTCTCACAATTCTGTGACACTTCCGACCCTTCCGTCTCCACAAAAGTCTTGTCAACGCTTTTATATACGTGAATATCTTGCCATTCATATCGCAGTTTAATACACTTATGGCCATAAGTATTGGTACCGCTATTATAGCATCCATTTGATGCAAAAAACTATTTTCAAAATACAGTTTAAAATATTTAAACAAAATTCTTGAGTCGATGTCTGTAGTGATGAACTGAATGTGAAGTTTCCTTATATTAAACACTCGTTTACACCGTATTTGTCCTTCACTTGCATCACATATATACGAAGGGGAGTTGAGTGTAATAGAAACGTCCTTGACACTTTTGAACTCAACAAATGGTTCAGCACAGTGTGCGCAAAAACGCGCAATGTTTGTGTATCGAGTTACATAATACAGTAGCTTGCGTGTTTATTGTATAAAACATCTGTAGCTACTATTAATTATGTTGTTTATCACTTGTAAACAATAACTACACTGTTAAGTTTAAAACTAATTAAATATTCGTTAGTATGTACTATGTTAATACACAATTGTAGAAATATTGATTTTTTTTATAATAGTTAGAATATTATTTTAGATATATTGACACATTTAAATGCGGTTACTCAAAATACTGAGTTGCCTAATGAAAATGAGCATGCTCTGTTTAGTGGTAGTTTTTTACATGTAAGTTAATCTATTTCTAATTATACATTTTTTCTAACACACAAATAGGCAGATATTTTTATGGTTTATGTTTTTGACAACTTATTATCTAAAGTATAATTTAAGACAATTAAAATTGTTTTACAATTCACTCAACAGTTATAAAAAATATTGAAATCTATATTTTATTAATTAAAATAAATTAAATTTCCAAATCATTTTCAACAATCGGTCCAAAATAACTGCTTAACTAAACCACTAGTGATTAGCCATTGATTGCGAGTATCCTTACAATCAAAGGCCCGGTTGTCGACATCGACCTTATTATTAGGGTTGGCCTCCAGGAAGGGTCGGAACACCTTCTCATCCAAATAGTTGAGACCAGTGTTCCGGTAATAACTACCGGCCAGTGATATCTCAGTCACTCGTTTGATATTTTTGAACGCATTGATAGAAAACCCCTTTTGGGTCAACAGAGGGTTGGCCCACAACACGATATTCAAGAGGTTATCGTTGGAAGTGGTCTTCAAAGTGAAGGCATTGTCCGGAATCGACGCGATTGTCGTGTTTTCGATGACTAGATTCACGAGTTTATTGAGTGGAGTGAAGGCATTGTCACCTAATTTGGTGATACTTTTGCCGGTGATCTGGAGAGTATCCAGTTTATTGGTGGTCAGACCTTCAAACGCATTGTCCGGAATCTCGTGTATATTATTTTCCTTCAACATAATAGACTTGAGGGCCTGTAGTTTACTCAATGCCTTAAATAGGCTGTTGTCGGCGCCGGCGGTCAGCTTCGGGTTACGCCATATGTCTATACCTGCCGTCTGTTTGGCGTTTTGTTCGCCGAAAGCGTCGGCGTCTATGGACTCGAGACTCAACGCGTCCTCAANGTGTTTTCGATGACTAGATTCACGAGTTTATTGAGTGGAGTGAAGGCATTGTCACCTAATTTGGTGATACTTTTGCCGGTGATCTGGAGAGTATCCAGTTTATTGGTGGTCAGACCTTCAAACGCATTGTCCGGAATCTCGTGTATATTATTTTCCTTCAACATTATAGACTTGAGGGCCTGTAGTTTACTCAATGCCTTAAATAGGCTGTTGTCGGCGCCGGCGGTCAGCTTCGGGTTACGCCATATGTCTATACCTGCCGTCTGTTTGGCGTTTTGTTCGCCGAAAGCGTCGGCGTCTATGGACTCGAGACTCAACGCGTCCTCAATAAAGATGTTGTGAAACACGATATCCGCGAAAGTCTGGGCTTTGAGTTCGCGAACCGATGTGTTGTTTAGGAAAAAGTTTTCAAACGTTTTCTTCTTTCCGTCCAATTGTTTGCTTAAGTCTGAGAACACGGCCTTTAGATCCAGTTCCTGAGCCCCACCGCAGAATATGGTACGAGTGTCCAGGTGTGCCTGGGTGTATTCACCGTCTAGACATTTACAGGGCGCCGGGAGGTCGACATTTGTGCAAACTTTCACCGCGAGAGTTGTGTTTATTATGAATGCAATTATTGCTAAAACTGCTAAATAAAGTATATTATAATTATTACTAATAATTTATTAATATACAAACTATTTAGCGCTCAAATTATAAAATTAGAAATATAATTTAGCATCTTATAAAATGATTATTATAACACATTTTGCATTTAGATACAAATTTTATTTATTTTATTTATTCTCATAATAAAAGTAACAAAGTAAACTTACTTTTGTATAATGTTGCCATTTTTGAAAATTAATAAAACTATTCTTTGTTAATAATAAATAGACTTTATTTATATACAGAATATTAACACAAAATAGTACGGAAAAATGAGCCTGATATTGTCAACCATGTGATAAAAACAATATTAGATAAATCTTGTTCATGGCACCATTTCCAATTAACTTGTGAGTGGGGTCGTGAAAAGTGTTGCTCATTTGTCACGAAAGTATAGTAATTTAAGTTCAACTTTATACATTTATATGTGCGTTTAAATTGTGCTTTCACATTGTGTTTTACAGTTTATAGCCATAAGGTGATTATCTCATAATTGTATTAATGTCGACTTTAATGAACTTGAAAAAGTTTAGTAACATTAGGTATAACTTAGTAATCATAACCACAGTACAATTCTTGGAAATCAATACAATAATCAGCTTATTATTATTACACTTCTCTATTTGATTCCCGGGGTCATTATCAATGATTACAAGAATACAAAAGCATGTTAACTCGAATATTTAGAGACTTAAATAAATTATTTTAATAATTTAGTAATAATTGTTTTATATTTTGGAAAACTTAAATTATATATTATAAATTAGGTGTCCACATACTGTAGATATCAGTTGAAAATTCATGTCACGAGTAATTACCCCCATTTGATTCAGTTATCAATTTGTGATAATTAGTAGAATACAACTAAATATAAGATTATTTGTTCTCACATTTCAGATAAGAATATTCTGTCAGTATTTTGTGAACTTTAATGAAAGTGCAGCACTTATATAAAAGTAACATATTTGTTATAAATTTCATATTTATTGTTAGTGCAATAAAAAATATAATGAAAATCATAATACTATTAGGGCTGGTAGTCATAGCCAGTGCACAACCACTCAGACCTGAAGACATTGAGAATGAATGGCAGAACTTCAAGGTTTGTTTGAATTTTGTAAATATTAGGAAATAATTAACTTTTATATTTAATTTAGAGAATATTCCGTAATAATGGTTTCACTGAAGGACCGGTAGAAGAGGACAGGCGTCGGGAGATATTTGAGGCAAACTATAGACTAATAGTGAAACACAATACAGAAGCCGATGCGGGACTCCATTCATACCGATTGGGTGTCAATCAGTTCGCAGACATCACTCACGAAGAGTACAAACAAATGAATGGATTTCGAGGACTTCGGCGACCAGTTGTCAGACATAGTAATAGCCGTTCCGTTCGGTCAGTCCTTTCAAACGCTTTACCCGATAGTGTCGACTGGAGAGACAAAAAGATTGTCACACCCGTCAAAGATCAGGGACAGGTATGTCCACTATAATGACATTCATATTTGAATTTGCATTAAATTGCTTAAAATGTTTGACTCGACTATCAGTGCGGTTCGTGTTGGGCCTTCTCAGCCATCGCTGCACTCGAGGGACAGTTAGCTCTGAAAACCGGAAAACTGATCTCACTTTCGGAGCAAAATGTGATGGATTGCAGTCACCCTGAAGGCAACAACGGGTGCGGTGGGGGTCTAATGGACTACGCGTACGAGTATATCATCAAACAGGGAGGCGTCGATACTGAGGCCAGTTATCCGTATAAAATGGCAGACCTTAAGTGCACGTATAAGAAGGAGTCGAAGGGCGCCTCCATTCAGAACTACACAGACGTACGTATGGGTGATGAGGAGGCGCTTAAGGAGGCGGTGGCTAATGTGGGGCCGATAGCCGTGGCCATCGACGCCCAGTACGAGACCTTCCAGTTGTATAAGTCGGGTGTCTATGACGAGCCCCTGTGTTTCCAGAGTATGGAGTTTTTAGACCACGGGGTGACTGTTGTGGGCTATGGCACCGAAAATGGTAGGGATTACTGGTTAGTGAAGAACTCGTGGGGAAATGGGTTTTGGGGTGAGAAGGGATACATCAAAATGTCCCGCAATGCCAACAATCAGTGCGGTATCGCCAGTGCCGCCACTTATCCAACGGGTGTGTCCGGTGTCTGAATTGTATTTAATACCAATAGTTTAATAAAATTATTTTATTATATAATCTAATCTATTATGACATTCGAGTTATTTTGCAGACATCATTAAAATACAATTTATTATTCATGACAATAAATTTAGTAAATTTAATAAATATCGCAATTAAATGCTAAATCATTAATCTTTAACTAACAAGCTAATTATTTGGTAACTCCTGTGGGGTAGAGCGCATACGTGGCTACACCGCATTGATTGACATTATTTCTGGCAATTTTAATGTACCCCTGGTCTCCATATGTCGTTCCCCACGAGTTCTTCAATAGCCAGTAGTCGTGACCGCTCTCAGACCCATAGCCCACGACTACCACCGCGTGGTGTAAGTCCTTAAACCCATTCTTACACTTTGTGTCCGTATATACACCCGACTTATATAACTTGAACCCAGTCTGAGAGGCGTCTATACCGATAGCTACTGGGCCTACAGTGGCGACGGCCTCCTGGAGGGCCAGTTCGTCGCCGGATGTGATGTTGACGTACCCCTGAATAGAGGCGGCCCTGTATTCCGGGCGATAACTGCAGTTATAAGCGTTGGCCAAATAGGGGGAAGTGGTCTCAGACTCGACGCCACCGTATTGTATGATCACTTCGTATGCATTGTGCATATATCCACCGGTAAAACAATTTAGAAAATGAAATTTACCAGGGTATACACAGTCAGCCACGTTTTGTACAGATAGTTCAATCAAATGACTGGTGTTAATAGCGAGTTGACCTAGGTGAGTAAATAAAATAGGGTTTATTATGTGGTGAATAATTACTGAGCATTAGAAACAAAGTTTTACAAAATGAGCATGGTAATAATAAATACAAATGTTCTACAATTATAATTTTGTAACAAAACATACTCTCAATTGTGTCAATAGATGTGAATATATAGCAGTATTCGCACTATTAATGAAAATAAAAAATTATTAATTTATATAAAATTCGTGTTTTTCTCAAAGACTCACATCTTTCTGGTCCTTAACACGGCTGACGACATGTCTGTCCCTCCAGTCAATACTTTGTGGCAAAAGAGTGGTATCTATTGTGTGTCTACTTTCTGATCGACTTTCATGTTCTGATAGACCACTCAAATCGAGACCCATTTTATTGCGGTATTCCTCGTCAGTCATGTCTGCGAACTGATTGACACCCAATCGATACGAATGGATCCCATTGTCTGCTTCCATGTTATGGCGGACTATCAGCCGGTAATTGGACTCAAATATCTGTCGTCTCACCACCTCTTCATCTGATCCCTCCGTGTATTCATTTCTCTCAAATTCACGCTTTTGTAATGAAATATGAATTAAAATTACTTTTATAATAAATTCAGTATAAGTATAGTTACCTTAAACTTTCGCCATTCAGTATCAATTTGCTGTGGACTGAGTGCCAGGGTATTTGTCACCACTACCAGAGCTAACAGAATAAATAATTTCATTTGAAATGTCTTTTATTTGACTATACTTTCAAACCTAATAATTATCTCAAAGTTAGTCTATGGTATTGTATTTATACATTTTATTTTTTACGAACATTTGCACATTTTCACAAAGGTCAGATTGCACTCAACTTATCATTTACTAGTACCGTAATACTGATCTCAATGGCAATATTTCTAAATAAGTTATCTAGGAGAGCACTATTGCACAGTATATATTATTTTATTGAAATAATTTGACATTTATTTCAATAACTTATAATACACCTGGTCATGGCCAACATATTAAAATGTGTTAAATTACTAATACAGAATTGAACAAGTTAAAAAATGACCACGAACACTAATTCACATGATTTTGTGTTTATTAACTTAAAAATCATTTTACAAAATAGTTGCACGATTAAAATTATTTCATTTATTGGAGAAATACGTATAAATTGGATAAGAAGTCAATTGGAAATACGGGGGGNAAACTAAATAACTGTTAATTACAGTATCCCTGGTGTTTGCAATTAATTCAATTGCTGGTCAACACTGTCCGGACAGTCGACTACTGACTCCCTGTACTTGCGAGGAGGAGGAGATGGGCCCCGAGATGACGTACTCCACCCTATTCTGCGGGGGTCACCACGAGCTCGACCTAAAAGCCCTGTTCGCAAACTACAGCCGAACACTGGTCAGGGATCCGACTGAACCCACATTCAAAGACTACCAGTTCACCAAACTATACCTCAATAACACAGCCATACGTGAGCTAAAGGCCCACACCTTCCGGAACGTGACATTTGGCTACATATATATCGCGGACGCCATGAGTCTCGAGACCATATCCGGGGACGCCTTCGACGACTCATACAATCTGACGGTTTTACTACATTTGTGGCGAAATCCGCGACTGACTAACGGCCCCAACAACTCGCTCTGGGATGCCGTCAGTAAATTCAAGATTGTTAATAAAGTCCAGGTTAGTTCCTTGTTCATTTATTATTTTAATTAAAACATTTAATTAATTTATATTAATTACCAAATGTGTACTAAAATGAATTGACTATATTTGATTACAGAATATACGTATTCTGTGTAAAATCTATGTTGTCAAGATAATTTAGTCTATATTTTATATAAGTTATATGAAAAGTTGAGTAAATGTGTGAACAGTTATGAACAGTGAGTTTTGTGTGATTTAGAAATTAATTTAATAACTTTTTTTAGTTTTAAAAATTATTAGTAAAATAGGTGTAAAACGACCTAGAATATCCTTATGAACTATTTGAACTAGGTTTTTACTGACAGCTTTTTTCACACAAATATAATTGTTTTTGAATTAATTGTTTAGGTTTTGGATAATAATATCTCTGAAATACCGGACAATGCTTTCCGACCATTGAATGGCAACCAATCAAACCTAAGGAATATAGAGATCTCCGGCAATAGTATCACCAAAATCGGTGACAAAGCGTTTAGTAGTCTCAGCGCTAATTTGGTGGGCCTTTCCATTACCAACACTTCCATCACTTCCATCGGTGATAACGCTCTATACTTTGAAACTCCTAGCGGTTTATGGCGTGAGATATCACTGGTGAACAACCCGGGGCTCACACCTCACAGTTATACTCACAAAACGTTTGGCCATCTCTTGGATGAGACACATCTGAGTCTATCAAACGTATACTTCAGGAACACTGGACTCAAGTATTTAGAGGAACAGGTGTTTCGGCCGTTCTTTGAGTCCAATGTTCACAATGCCATAGATGTGGACAACAGAGCCTTTGATTGCAAAGACCCCCGCAATCAGTGGCTGATCACCAGTGGACTCATTAAACGTCTGTTTTGGACCGATTGTCACCAAATGTATTAATTGTATAATAAATACTTTAATAATATATTTAAAAGTTTTATTATGATATTCAGATAATTGTTTTATTCAAATAAACAATTCGTTACAAAAGTTGAAAAAATAAAACGTTGTGTTTTTATGGAAATAATAGAAAGAGTTATCAAAACCGAAAAAAACAGTAAAATGAATAAAATAATTTCGGTATTAATAACAAAATTATGTAATCAATTCAATGGTTTAATGGCAACACATTTCGCAATTCATGTATTTGTTTGTCAGTGTATTTGATGCATATGCCAGCGCTTGTTAGTTGAAATGACTTCAATTTGGGACTACTTTTCAACACAAATGCCTTTATATCCGATTCATTGAGGTTTAGATTGGCGACTGAATCCCAGCGAATGGCCAGTGATTGCAGTTTACGAAGCCTTGCGATACTATCCAAACAAAAGGCATTTATCTCTCCATAACTCCACGGATTGATTACGATATCAAGTGATCGCAGATTTGGTTGATTTGCAGCGATCTCTCGAAACAATTTGTAATGAATTTGCCATAAATTGAGTGAAAGGTGTGTTAATTTAGGCCAATGTTTGAGTGAATCAAATGAATGCCAATCAGTAACCGGTGGGTCATCACTGGGTAAGTCCAGGTCCAGCTCTAATCGTGTGATTTGTGGCATCAATTGGATTGCATTGAGAACTCCAACATTTGGTTCTGGAGTTTCAGAAACCATTGATAAACAAAACCTCTTGAGTTTTGGACACTTTATGCCAATTTGGACCAAAGGTTCAGATATTGAATAATCAAAATGAATGCCTTCATACGTGAACTCCAGTTCCAATTCTTGGAGTTCTTGTAATTGCGACAATCGATTCATGAATCCAATGACATTCTCTTCAATCTCTACATAAATATGTCTAATATTAAGACTTTTCAGTGACTTATTGTTTGCCACAAAAGCGGTGAACATATCGTTAGAGGAATGGTTCGGCAAATGATATCCGAACTGAAAATTCTTTAAATTCTTAGCCAAACACAGGTTACCCGTCTCATCAAACACTGAATCCAATTTACAAACTTCCAAATGAGACAAATTGTGGCATAAATTGAGACATTTTCTACAATTGGATTCATCGTTATAACCGAAAACTAATGTAACAATTGATTCAAATGTTTGACACAAATATTGTATAAAATTGTCGCCAATTTTCATTGAACTCAAATCGCAGTGAATTTGTCGGACATTCAGACAATTGTCGAGCAATTCATCGATGGCTCCAAACACTTGTCTCTGAAGTTTTGATCGCACATATCGACAGTCAATGGTCTCAATGTTGGCACACTTTCTCATAATTAGTGACAAACACTTGAAATGAATATACTTTTTGTTGCAAACGTTTTTTGTCTTCATTTTGTCCAATAGATTGTCATTAATAATCATCTCATCGATGGTCTCGTATATGACTCGTTGCCACTGTTTGGACACACATTCACATCGGAATCGGTCTTCGAGTGACAAATAAGATAATAAGTGTTGACACAAATCATCACCGAATCGGTCCAAAGAGTCTGAAGCATACATTTGTGGCTATAATTGAGTGAAAATCAAAAGTCAATTGTTTTATGAAATGAATGAATATTTGTGTGAATGTATGGCTAATACCTGTTCACTGTCTTTGCCCTCATCTGTGGTCACATTCTTCACGGTCTTTAACTTCTTGTGAGCCATACTATGGATCCAATGAATCACTTCTTGTGTCTATTGTTTGAATGTTTAGTAAATGAAACACAAAATGAGTTTTCATTGAAAATCAAAACATTTGACACAAAATGCGCTCAATTTGTGGTCAATTGTCACATGAATTACGTTTTCATAACTCTATTGCTTTTGCATTGCATTCAAAACCAATGAAATTAT